TCTCCAGTGACACAAGGAGAAGGGAAGATTGGCCGACAGGTGAAGGCCTGGGCGAAGCTCAAGACTTCCAACGCAGCATCTCAACCTCATAGAATCCCTTTATCTTCAGGAGGATGAGTCATGAGTAACTGCCCAAGACATTTAGAACAAGCGACAGTACAGTAATTGATGAAGGGGTTGAGGTCTCCCTCTCAACAGTCAAGAGGGTGACAAAAAACTCTAATGGGTCATTACAGATACCAAGTATTGCCAACTGATTCGCGTCCCCAATAGACAGTCAAGGCTCAAATTCTGCAGAGCTGCATTGGCTCAGAATGAGACTTTTGACAATGTAATTTTTACTGATGACTGTTCGATCTAAATGGAGTCCCACAGCGAACTCACATTCAGAAAAATTGGCCATGCAAGAAAACTGGAACAAAAGGCAAAACATCCGTATAAGGTTCATGTTTGGGGGGGATATGAAAGCAAGGAGTTACACAAGTGCTTATTTTCGAGAAAATCATGGCCAGCAAATTTTATCATAAAGAAATCCTGAAAAACACTCTTTTGCCATTTGTAGAGTCTCTGTTCCCCAACGGATACAGGTTTTAACAAGACACTGGTCTGAAGCACACTAGCAAAGCCACAGTTGAGTTTATGAAAGCCAAAGGGATAAATTCGTTTATAAATTTGCTGCATCTCCAGACCTCAACCCCACCGAAAACTTGTGGATCAGCTCAAGAACCCCCTTGGAAGGCTTACCCCAGAATTCTGAAGCACAACACCGATCCAAGAACTACGTACAAAGTATGTACATAGACCACCTGCAGAAGGTTGTGAGCAGGCAGTGGAGAGGAAAGGATGCCCATCCAGGTATTAACACCCAAAGTTGATATAAGCTAAATGGTTCTTTTCAGAGCCAACACCTCTATAAAAGAGATACTGACTTGCTTGATGTGTATCACTCTATATTAGGGGCTCCACTTTGCCTTAATCCGAGCATCAACTTTACGGGATTTTAAATCAAGGTGCAGGTACATGACTGTATCTATTTTTTCAGCACATGAAAGTCACTGAAGAAGACTTAGAAACAAAGACTTGGTCAACATGCGGAAACTTTGGAAGTAAGCACCACACAGGGGGTTGAAAGAAGAATGTTGAACCTGCACAATTATTATACTGCGTGTACATACCGGTAGATGGTAATGGACAAGCGTTTCTAACACTGGATATGGTCATTTCTATGTTAAGTTACAAGTCAGCGATCTTCATTCAAACCCAAGCAAACACATGGTTTTAACAAAAGTTTTATTATTATAGTGCTGTGGTGGACTTCATTAGTTGAAAAGGGAAGTGTGTGGTGTTTTAAGTTAGTGAAGGATGTTGTACCGGTAATGTCCAGAAGGTACAATGTAAGTTTCAAGTTTCCCAGAAAATGGGTTTGATCTACTACATGTACATTGATTAATAACCTTAAAGAAAAACAGAGACATTGGACCTCAAGGCCTCCAGCCTTGAATAGTTATGCGAAAATTTTTAGACTCCACCACTCAATATTTTTCCCAACATCGTCGCTATGCATTTTCCATGCACTGAGCCTTTTGTAAATTGTAACTATTCACAGCCACTGAATTTGGAAAATAATTTATTCATATGATGGGCTAACTGGCCATGCACAATTACGGTATTTATAAATGAAATTATTAATTACAACAAAATCTAAGAACAACTTGATTAAATTGTTGTAGTCATTCTGGACTTGAATGTAAAAATATATTAGATAGCCAAGATTTACATGTACATGTACAAAAGGGAAATTAACGCAGAACCATTCCCATTTCTGCAAAAACCACAGAACCTTTCTGTGGTTGCAAAAACTTGTACACGTACACCTAAATATTTGTTATCTCAACACCTAATCAACATTATCCATTCATCCTGTTGGCTGATGACTCACAATAGGCAACATTTCAATGATTGTTCACCCTGGATTATTGTTAAGCACATTCAGGCCTTATGGTTTAAATCTGCAGCAGTGCAGAAGAGTGTTGAAGTACAGTATTTACTGTACAAAGTACATATCTGCAATGCATGTACCGGTAATGTACTGACTATATACAATGTACATATACATATACATGTAAGGGCTGCTCAGGTGTACTGGTACATGTACATTACATGTACAATGTATTACATGTACATGTATGCGTACAGGGTACTGAAGTGTGACATCACTGTGAATCAGAAAGTACCCTCCCCCGTACAGTACAAATGAATTGAGTACACGCGCATGTTGGTTTACATGCTGGTTCTTGCGCTAAATGCTTTTTTCACATGTACAGAATGTGTGTGTGTGCCAAAGTTTGAATCCAGTGAGTGACATACATGTACATGTACTTCGTAGATCGCTTGCTCATGAGTCATGTTTGTTCTCAACCAGTATGTGCATTATAAGCTCACAGCTACGACACAGGTTAAGACAATGAACCAATTGACTCAAGTCTGCTCACTGAATGACAGGCATACACGTACATGTACATGTCCATCAGGAACTTCAGGAATCTTTCAGGGTAAGAAGTTACAGTGTGGCTTGTCTCTGCAGACTCATCAAGTCTGGGTCTTGCAAGAAAAGGATTTCAGGTGACCCAAACTTTCTGAACTGACTTGAATGAACAGTTGTTCTGTGTTGATGCCCTTTTGCCATTTCTAATGCTAGGTTTTGGGCTCAGCAGTGTATGGCATAAATCGCTATGAGATTTCCTGACAAACTTCACACGATTATTCTGGCAAGATTCAAATCCAGTACATGTACGGGTACTTCCAACTTGAAAATCGTGCAGATACGTATCTGCACCTGTATCCAAAGTAAATGTGAACACGTAAATGTGCAGGCACAAACACTCTGGCCAAGCTCAAACTGCTGCAAGTACACTGTTCATGAAAGCAATGTCAATATTGATGCTGCATTGTTATCTTGCTGGGAAGGGCATACAACCTGAGGGATTTCTTCTAACAAGTTGCCTCCCCCAATTAACACCAAGGAGTCATTAACGTACATGTAACCCTTGTCAGGGTTAATTCACAGAACAGACACACTGTGCAACCACTAACTCAATGAATCTCCGATATTTTCAACCTAACCTTTTAATTCTTATTCTCCTTGTCAAGGTAACAATCTTCTCAAAAGTGTGTGCCTCTTTTTCAAAGGAGAATTACATGTCTATCAATTTAGATAAACTCTGACATTAAACATAGCCAAAGTGCAGACTGGAAAAACAAAACCCCCAAGAGGGAGTATCCAGTATCCCTGCCCCATTCTGCTCTTTCAAGCCTAAAATAACACACCTGCAATTTTAATAACTGTCAGATCACATTTCTGATCTTTTCATCCTGAGTGGATCCCCTCATCACACCTGAATGTCAGCTTGTGCTGCCGTTCTGATTGGGTTGTTTTTTGGGACTGATATGCTAGAAGGGTAATATGTACCTGGTCATTGATTTTACATGTACGGAGTATGAGTTTTTAAGTGGCATTAAATTGCAAGAAAACAAACAGCATGATATCTGAGATGTACATGTGCACTGTATCTTGAAACTGTTCGTATACACATCTACTGACACAGACATACATGCACATGTACATGTAAAGGTACAATGTTGCACCTGATGCGTATACTAATTGTATGGCTACTGGCTCTATCTACATGTCTGCATTTATAGCAAGAGGGAGCTTTTTTCCCATGGAATACATGTACATGTAAGTCCCACTGCTCGTCCACGTACATGTACCATACATGTATGGCACAGAGAATGCATCCAGGAGTGATTTGGCAAATCTGTAATGTATTGGTACATGTGTGCACAGTACAAATCGTATTACATACAATGTAAGTGTCTTTACTTCTCACCTGTGAGAGACTCGTCCATTAGAGCAGATGAGAGAATGAAGCCATGAATCAGTACCACTGATATTGGTCTAAGTAGTGTAACTTTTTGAACAATTAAAAACACTTCTTGGACAGTTTTATTTGGAGCATTTATACATACATGTATTTGTACCAGGTTTGCAGAAATATATTTCCAAAAAGATACAAAGGTTCTACCAATAACTTGGGGCTATACAGAATATGGGAATTGTGGAGAGGACATCAGACAGGGGTTCGTGGGTCAGTGGTTTCTATCCTGTTGTTGGCCATCGATCAACCCTAACAAAACTCAATATTTTAAAAGTGAAGGACTGAGGACTTGCGGGATTTCATGTCCTTTTGAAAGTCTACTGACTTCCCCTTGCCTATCTCAATCCAACAGTGATCAACCTCCATGAAATGGCAGCCCATCTAAAGCAGACGAAGACATCAAAATGGGAGTTTACCGCCACCCTTTTTTTCCCCTTCCACACTGACTTGAAGCACTCCCTAACTCACAAAGAATAGAGACGTGGGTGTGAATTTTTCAACTTTGCTTGTACACATGCGCAGCACACACAGACAGACTGTACATTCAAACAGAAACTGTACATAAACCTGTGGTCCATAGTTGCTATTGTACATATGTGTACACTAGGAACACGCCATCTCTTGTTCTTGCATAGAGTGGATACAGTTAGAAAGGGCTGACAGCATCTCCCTTCTCAGAGCCAAGCCTGACTGCCGAATACACAGTGATGGGTGGACCAGAATTAGCCACACACTCCACTCAATACCACTGCAGGCTACAGGTTATCTTGTAGTGAACTGTACAGGATAATTCACAGCTGGCGTTTAATGGAACGCTGTACCACTACCAGCTATGAGCTATCTAGTACCATAAGGCCAATATAATAAGATACCCATGAATGAACAAATCACCACCTCAAAAGAATTTAAAAATAACCCAATAAATACTTGTATGCGCATATTTATATGTATGTATTTTGCTTGGCAACGAGGGAGGGGATATTCACATCATTGGAAGTCCATGTTAATTTACGATGATTTTCGTTGCCCCCAAAAGCTCTCTAGGAAACGTTTTTCTTTTACCTGTCTGGAAGACGAGCTCCCTGCCACCAGCTCCGGCTGCGTCCAGATTGATAAAGGCCTTGATATTCTTCCGCCAGGGGTGTTGCGTAATGAAGCCATGGCTGGCCTGCAAGACATTCTCCTCTGCACCATTGAAGAGGAAGATGATGTCGTGCCGCAGAGAGTACGGGGAGGTGGCCAGGTTCTGTAGTATCTCCAGCATGACACCGCAGCTAGCTGCATCATCACTGGCCCCTGGGGGTGGGGAAACACACAATGGGCCTATTTATCCAAAATTTTATCATTATGCAGCATAGACAATCACAATCTACATTATTCCCTCTGTTTTAAATTTTAATGTTCCTATTTTCAGAAATGATTAAATGCCAAACACGAATGAATAACATAGTCATTACAGATTCAATGGCAAGTACTGGTAGTCAATAATATTTTCCTTATTAGGTCACATTCTGGTACATGTAAGTAAAACATGTAATTTCTTCCTCAATAATGGTCTGTTATTGGACAATTTTCCGTGGATCAACTGTCTGTGATAGGAAGCACATACACAATTTGTATGTACCCCAAGTGCAATTCTCCCCTCGCCTTCCTGCAAATGAATATTGGGATCTAATCATTACACTCATCTATTTGAGGTACATGTACTGTATGTGTGCTGTGTATCATTTCCATCACTGTAGGTACCGTATTTTCATTACCATACAGTACAGCAGAATGCACGGCAGAATGAGCCAGTCTAATTCCAAGGTCATTCGAGAAAGCAGCTGAAGTAGGTCCAACATGTTCTGTACAAGTGAAATTAACTGCCGTATAGCTACCAGTACGCCAATCTCCCATGAAAACTACCATAATGTTTGTGAACTGATGTATACATGTACGTGTAATGTAGCTGAGCCAATAGGGAGGACTTCAAGCAATATATGCAAATTGATGTTTTTGTACATCGGTGTTATTATTATTATTATTTATTTCTGGTAATGACACCAAGGATTCCTCAAAAGTGCCCTAGGCACTATAGCTCGTAAGCCTGAAGAAACCTGTAGAGAGGAGACAATGAGAAGCAGTTACAGTTTTAGACGTGGGAGGAAAACCCCAGAGGAATATTCTGGGTAAAACTCATGGAATCAGGTAGGGACTGAAAACCCAATCCACATGTGGACCGAGCCCGGAATCGAACCTGGACCGCAGAGGTGAAAGGCAAGGAAAGAGCCACTGCGCCAACCCGACTCCCCAAGTGTGAAGTGCAGTAGACTTACATGTACGGAGACAGACATGTACGATGAGATGGCCTATGGTACAAAATCATTTTGATTGGGTAGAATTTAGAAGATGGAACTTGGATTCATCTAAATTGTCTACAAAGCAGGGTTTTGATTTGACAATTTGCCATGAATTGAAAACGGATCCAAGTTGCTGAAATCTGATGCTTTATGTCTTGTATCACAAGACATCTCTCTAGCTGCAAGGCCTTAATTGCCTTGACATGGCTATTAAATCATTCAGAATTCAGGCACTGATTGTAAAATTTCAGTTTCCTCATGACGCAGATGTGCAGAGAATTATGCCTAATTGGATAACAAGGCTCATCAGGCAAAAGGGGTAAAAACACAAAGCAAACAGCACAAATCTTGTAATCAGCAATGTCTACGATTTCCTGAACGCGTGCCTCTGAATTTAACATTTTTCTTTACATATACACTGACTTTATTCTTGCAGTTCATGCACATGTACTCTTGCAGTTCATGTATTGTACTGTACTACGTGTACTTACAAAACAAATGCCAGTCTTTGTGACAAAGATTGAGGAAACCAAAATCATTCAACTGTGCACATGTACAGGAACATCTTCCAAAGAGGTACAATCTTATTGAAGAAAAGTGGTGTCCCAAATGATAGACTGTGCAAATGTATTACAGCCCAGCAATAAGAACATGAATAATGCAGATCGACATATGCAGCAAGGTGTGAGACGGAGAGAACTCCCCCTGCTTTGTGTTGGTCATTGTCTGGCAGGAATCTGGGGAATTCCTTTCAGACATCTTGGGGGGGGGATGCGTTCAGTAACAATAGTCTGGAATGTGTATAGGGATTGAACATGTTGGGGGGGTACCCCTTGGTCTCATTTCTTGCTGGGTATACAGATCGACATACACGTACCGGTATCCCTAAACCATGAACGGTTTTGTCAGAGTGCACCGACTGACCTACATGTATATGTATGTATCCCAACTGAGACAAAGTGTCCTCAATAAAATGGAGATGAGCATCAACAATAATTAACGACCAGAGAAATCACATCATCAACATGGACGCTGAAGTGAAGATTGTAACGATCAAAAAAAGAATGAAAAAAAAAATACAGGTACACGTACATGTATGTACATGTACATTTACCTACTGGTACATGTACAGTACAAACATGCCTAGTCTGTTCATTGCTGAGCTTGCTTCACTGAAAGATGCAGTGAAATCCCAGTACATGTATTTGATACATGTTTCAAATTCATATTTGAAGATGTGCACATGTAGCACAGCATGCCCTCACATGTAGTACGTGTCTGCCATGTACAGGTACCGGTATATATGTACTGCTGTACATAGTACATGAAGGCCAGTTTGTCTTCCTGGCTTCCTTCCTACATTGTATCAACCGCAGAATTACAAAGACCTGTCAAATTACATACATTTAGTTGCTGGAAAGCAATACAGCTCAGTTGTTGGCAACATATATGTAATGTTATACATGTACACGTGTACGTAGGCTACTAGTACAATGAATAATACTGCATGAAGAATAATGTATAAAGTGACAGAAAAGTGAAATACATTAACTTTACTGTGTAAATTTACGAATGTAAATTGGTGTCTAAAAATGGCTCTAACTGGGCAGATGTTATTATTAAAGGAACATGTTTTAGGTTTAGGCTTATTTAGTTAGTTACCCTGTTGACAGGACAGATGTATCCCCATACTCCAGTCTGGGTACTGGCATGATGGCCTGTTTTTTTCTCTACTACTATTGTATAATTTGCTTTGGTTTTAAATAGTTTATGTGTGTTTGGATATTGAAATTGGTTTTTTGTGTAATTGGTTTTAAATAAGTTTTTAGTGCAATGCGCCTTTGATCACTTTGGTGGAAAGGGCGCACTGTAGATTCTAAATTATTATTATTATTATTATTATGTACACGGGTTACACCATCAATGTGTGAATATGAACTTGACATAAAAAAAATCAGCAAGACAGCCAAGGTGTAGACTGTGTTCGACTTTGGCAAATTTGTAAAAGAAACAGTATCCACTGTGCCACAAACGCACACCCGTGTTTGCTTGGAGTTTCAATCATTTTCAGTGATTATTTTGCATCACAAATGCAATCATACACTTAACGCGGCAAAATGTGTGAATTAAAATTTTATTTTATGAAAACAAACTAATGGCACATAGGGAAACTGACAAGGTGCTTATACATGTAAATGATTTTCTAACTTAAAACACATTTCACAAAAGAAGCATACTGGTACATGTAAAATATTTCAAATCCCTGGGAGGTAATTTTAATCCCCGAGATTTATTTTGTTTTTAATCATACATACATGTACATATACATGTTTTTGGTACAGGGCAATATTATGCCGCTGTGCACTGTGTGCAGGCAGTTAATATTTATAGTATAGAAAATAAATTAAACAGAAAGCTGTCATTTTGGGTCGACCATTCAAACTGACACATCCATAAGGTGTGTGCACACATCTGCAGGAAGCATCAAGCATGCACCGTGTACATGTACATGTTTGCCCCCAAGCTGGTTAAAGGTGCTGGAAGCAGTAACTGTGGGGGGTAATTTTTAAGACTGGTGTTGGATGATTCAAGTTATCAATTGCATGAAAATTGTGAGGACCACGGTGGTGGTGGGAAGTTTGACTGTCAAACTAAAAATCTCGAACAAAATAAAAGTACATGTATGCGTTTCAACAAATGCCAATTTCGGACCCCCAAAACAGTGACAACTTACATGTATATATGTACATGATAGACAAGACACATGCACAGGCTGAATCACATGTTGAAACAATGTATGTACATTTAGCTGGTATATGCACATGTACCAGTATGGTAGGCCTACACATCCCGACCCATACTACATGTACATGTACAATGAAGTTGCTGAATATGATTTCAAATGATGAAATGTTCATTACCACAGATAGGCCAATAAAATGACACAATTTGCTGGTATCACGGACAGGCCAAACCACACCTCATTCCTACAGCAGCCTTATGAGGATGGATGAGCAGTCCCCGAGGTACCATAAACCTGATGACTAACACATTAAGTTACTGCCTCATCTAGCAGTGACCTGATACATGTGGGTGATGTGATTTTACACTCAGGCATATTATGCATTTCAGAAGCTTTCAATATATAAAAACAATTTCTTCAAATCTCTGCCACCTTGCACGGCTCATGTGGAACTGAAGCCTACATGTGCAGTACTACGGTAGCATTCCTATATCATAGAAACTGTCAATCCAAACCACCAAAACAAACAAAAAATGGAAATAATTTTTACATGTATAAACAATTTAATTACCATCTAGTGCAAGGAGATTCCATGACCACGGTGGCACCAAACTCCAAAGCACATTCTTGAACTTTATGCGCGCATACACTTCAGTTAGTCGGGGCAACTTGTGACCTATTGATTTCATTTTCGCTTTCCACTGTCTTTAACTGCACAAGTAAAGCGAATTTGAAACTCAACTCCCGAAAGAAGCAGATTAAGAAACAGCAATGTGATTTTAGTTCCACTGAAAGTAAACCAGGAATAACTTCAGAAACGAGTCTCAAATCGTGGGAAAGGTTAACATGTTCCTACTGAGCCCAACAAATGTGAATTAACCATGTCATTGGAATGATTTACCGGTACGTGTACATGTACATCATATACATTGTATAGGAAAAGGTGGGGATTCAAGGGCTACATGTATGCACACTGCCCAAGAATTAACCACTGTGAGCTATGAAGTATTATTTGGACAGGTTATGATGTAATTGTTCACAGAATTTGAGGTTTTTATGCTTATACTGTAGGGGAACAAATTTTGAAGGGCGAAAGTTTGAAAACAGAAATCAGGGCAGTTGGAGCACTGATTGTATCAGGAGGTGTCCTTTAAACACATTCGTACAAATTTGTACAATGGTTAAGGTTTTTACAGTTTAAAGAGCTCACTTACTGGTAATATATATATATGAGAAACACCACCAAGTACACTGTATGTACAAGTGTAATGTATTCTTTGATAGCTTGTTCAATGACTCCACAGTTTACAGTCAACACATGTTCATGTACACACGTTTACCCAGGCTGTGCCAACCATGACCAACATGGCCAGTGCTGCCAGCTTGCAAACTGGCTTCCCACTCGTGACCTCTCCATGTATACTGTGTGCATTTATGCAGCACAATGAAAGCATTGAGCTAACATTTTGAAGCCTAATTAGGGTGAGAACTTGCATTATCGCAAGCTTCAAATGGCTGTCATGTATAATCCACCCCGAGCTGAAATGCGCCCCCAATCAGCGAAAGAAAGACAGGTGGTTAAAAGCATGTTCTTGCACGCGTTCTGCATGTACGCAAAGACCACACACGCCGGAATAAATTAGTTACGCATACTCAGCGTGCTCCGCTTCAAACGCGCATATAGTTGCCCACCTCATGGCAGTGAGTACCGAAAAAAAAACATGCCCTCTTTTGTTCAGTACAGTACAGTACTGTACTTGATACAGTACAAGCTGGGGCCAGTAATGCAAGGAACATCTTTCTGCTTTGGTCACTGGTTGGACATTTTCTTGGCTTGCATGTGGGACATCATTCTTCAGACAAGACCCGCACCCAAGGCTGGAGTTGGCTCAAAAAAAAAAAAAAAAAAGAAAATATGATACTTTTTAGTCACATCCTAAACAAGTGAATTACATGCATTTTAAAATTCGTTGTTGAATGCAGCAAATTAAAAGGGGTACAATGTGTACATGTACAGTAGTTCCTTCTTAAATGTGAAAAGAGAAAGCAGCAGCACCAAGAATCATTCTGATTACTGAGTAAAAATGACTTTTGTCAACCATGTGTCAACAGTCATCCACTGGATTGGATTCCTCTACATGTACCAGTACATACATATTACATGTAGCTCAGAAATTTGAAAAATAATCTCATTTAACCCGTTCTGTTTATGTACTGTACATGAAATTTTCGGCCATTTCAAGACAAAGTGCCCCTTTTAATACTTTTATTAACAGGCTGTACAAGGGGACCTGGTGCTGCCATCCCCATCCAAGAAAAAAATTGAGCTTTGCCAAGACCTGGAATGTGCCATGCAAAATATGGTTCACAATTGCTCTGTCATTCCTCTTCAATTGGAGAGCCTTGTAAAGTGGGCAGTGTTGTGTATGAGTGCATCATTGAACCAATTCAGTATTTCAAGAGTGCCTTGCACGGGAGGGGGGGTTACCAGTAGGTGAACAAATGTCGCACCAGTAGATCATTCAAGAGATTACTACAATATTGAGGTTGGCTTTATCACTATCAGCATGGCTGTATGCAGACTCACAGGCACTGACTGGCAAACTTCAGATGCTTTTATACTCAAATGAACTGGCCCTCTTTACAATACAGAACTGGCTCATTCTCTACAAGTGCTTGTAACTTGAGAGGACATACATGTATATCACAAACTGAAAGCATTCATTGCCTCTTTGGTAGAATAAAGCTCACAGGCAGACAGTTCAGTACATGTGTATGAACCTGAATACAGATCTCAGTGACTGCACTTTCTTTCTCGTCTTCAGACCATTTAGCGAGGATTAGAGGTTCTAAGTAAAGTGACAGAAAGCAGCGACATACAACCATGGAGGAAGGAGGGATACAACCAAGCTGGTTTTCAGGGATACTTACACAAAATGGGACTCTACCTTTTTGATCAAAATCACCAAACAAAATCATAAAAGAGGCTCATTATTCGCTCTCAGGCATAATATACTCTGCGAAATTTGATGACTGCTATCCTGTAATGACTCATCAAAGTGAACCCTTGCTAAGAAATGAAAACACATCAAAACAAAATCAATTTTTACAATTGATTTCATTCATCTATTCACGTACTGCTCTTTTTCTTTTAGTAAATCCCACAGGACCGAACAGCATGCTCGTGGATTCTGACCATAACCAATACGGGCTATTAACAATTGTACACCTCCCAGAGTTTGCGACGCCTTGGCCAATCACAATGTGCGAAATCTGTCGACCTTTTTCAAATGCGCACTGGGTTGACAGATTTCGCACATTGTGATTGGCCAACAAATCGCAAACTCTTGGAGGCGTACTATTGTGAATCGCCCACATAAAGAATTAAACACAAGCCAATGTAAACTTTAACCACTTCTATGGTATCTTACCAATTGGAGACTTCTGCACAGCCTTCCAGCCTCATTCAGCAGAATCAATTAAGCGTGCCAGATATTCACCAACACCGAGGACAAACAGGCAGGTGAAAAAAACTTTCCCCAATAAATTCACATCTGCACCTGCCTACTACAAAAATGGATCTGCTGGCACCAGTGTGCAAGTTGAATGGAACCCTCACCAGTTCCAGTGGAACAAAGGGATTACAGTTGTGGTCTAGGTGGGATGGAGGGTGGTATGATACATTGTATGCATACGTACATGTACACCATTGAAAGGCTACAGGCTACATCACTGTAATATGTATGTGTGCTCTGCACAAAGGTACCTGAATATTCCACATTTATTAACAAAAAATTGTAAGAAAAAAAATCCCACATAAAGAAGCCTTTACCACAACTGTCAAAATGAGTACATGTATCTTTATCAGTTTACGACAAAACCTTCTTTTCTGTCAGATCTAGCGGTGATCCTGGTAAGAGAGAACTCCTTATCCCCCGAAAAAGGGGCATTTTGAATTCGAGGATTTCTACTAGCAAAGTGTTGATCTATAAAGGGATCAGTAAATCTGGCCAACGCTTATCCTTTTTACTTTTAGTACCAACCAATGTAAATATGAAGAAACACTAATTTAAGAGTGGAAAAATGCAAGTTTCTCTGAAAACAGACTTTTCAGTCATGGAGCATAGACTTTGTGTATAAAACCTACAGTATGATTGTTGCTGAATATGGAACTCTATCCCAATAAAGATCACAGAAAAATCCGTCTTCCAATATGTATTCAACTTGTCTCATCAAAGACCCCACTCCATCAATTAATATCCTCGAAATGATTTCAAAGAGTTTTCTACACCTGAAAATTACTCAGTCCTGGGATCATGTCTGCTCAAAGATTTCGCACTTTATGAGCTACATACATGTATGTACTATTTTGGGTCAACTCGTACCCTAGTCAACTCATACCCTCAACAAAAACACACAGGAATTTTGACCCAAATGAATTACGATTGTTTTCTTCCTTTTTTACCCCAAATGGATTACGAAATTTTTCTTCCCCTTTTTTCCTGTTTTTCTCTCTTTTTGGCAATGTTAGATGCTAGGAACACTAAAATGTCTTATATCATTAAAATGGTAAAATTGGCAAGTACGGTCCAACAAACGAAAACTGGACAATTCATTTTATTTTATGAATGAGAAGGAAAAATTTTTTTTTTTTGTAGTCAGACGGCATTTATGTCCTTCTTAAAACACGGTGGGGATTTTTCAACGAAATCCGACTGGTAAAAGGAACTTCATACCCTTTATGCATACATACGTTTGCATTCAATAAATGAGAGCAACAAAATCTCCACCTTTTTGCTGCTGAATGGGCCTGGTGAGTACGAGTTGACTCGGGTACGAGCCCACCTGGGTATGAGTTAACTCAAGTGCAAGTTGACCTGGGTATGAGTTAACTTGGGTGCATGTTTCGGGGTACAAGTTGACCAGGGTACGAGTTACACTGAGTACGAGTTGACCCATTTCGGTAAAGCCTATGATTTTGAAAATGTATGTAGTGTGCTAGCCCCACTAGTGTGGCACGGACTCTCACTCCCGCTCCATAGGATGGAGCAATAGGATGGAGCGGCAGTGAGACTCCGTGCCACACTAGTGGGGCTAGTAGTGTGCAGGCATAAGCAGCTAGTGAGGATGTAATATTCTTTCAAAACCGATTAAGATAAGAATTTTTTTGGAATATAATTTTGTCTGAATTCTTACCAGGGCTCCCCTCTACTGTGTCAAAATGGCAGTTTAACAGCAGACTGTGATCGTGGGCCCCTTCGCCTTGCCTAACCACTTCCTTCGCCGGACTCAGGCGGACCACGATGTTAGTTATTTTCTTGTAGTAGGGCGAAAAACCACCCCAAATGTCCATGGTGAACGACCCCTCCGGGTGGGATATATCGATCTCGACCTCATGGACCCCTGGAACGGCCATTTTCTTGACCTCTGTCAAAACCTTCATAAGGTACGCGACGCAGTGGATCTCGTTTGCTCTCGATCCACCTGGACGGGGTCCCAGACTGGTGATCTGGGCGATATGCGCCCGGGCGCGCTCCTCCACAAACTCCCCCGTGCCTCCGTGCTCGGCCACAGTCTTCGGAGCCGGGAGCCGGTGGTAACTCCAGGACGCCACAAGAAAAAGCAAACCCAGGTAGAGCAAAATGAAGCCAAAAATTTCCTCTGAGAGGTAGCGGGACGGCAACTTTTTGATTTTTGAACCGTTATGGAGGCCATTTTTGGCAGCATTTGGGGGATTTTCGATCCCAATACTACGCTGTCGAACTTCCCTTCCGACGCTATTCTCCATGGCTAGTGTGCACGTACAATGCCGTATGCGTGCCGTCACGTCATCGTGTCCCCGATCAGCTGATATTAGCACACAAAAGGTCACGTGGTTCTCTGCAGCTTATTGCACACACTTGTCAAGTAGGTACAAAATGCCCATATATTAAAAGCCCAATGCGGGTGCGCGTGCCGCGCCAAGGTACCATCACATTGGGCTCCCATCATCTGAACGAATCTTCCATCTGAACATTCCTGAGACCATCTCTGCTTCCTAGAGAGCAGCCGAATATGGTGCCATTTCGGCGCAAACATAATCGTGTCCTACCCACAGACATAAATAACCACGCATACCCATTTGCTCCTGGGTAGATATGTTCGGCTTCCTCAATGCGTAAGGTGACTTGCCCAAGATCACATGCTGCCACCAGCTGGATTCAAACCCCGACCTTATGATCAGAAGCCACAAACCATAACCAGTATATAAGCCATACCCCCCCTTTTTTTGGGGGGGGGGGTCGTTTCTTTACAATCTACTCGTCCGTCCTCGCCCACTGATAACCGGCCGATGACAGTTTCGCGCCCCCAAGATCAAAAGCAAAGTGCTGTTCAGACAATGAAGTTTGAACTTTTGTGGTAAGACAAAACTTTGGGTTCAAATTTAAGAATAGATTTTATTCTGTCCTTGACAACAAGCAACAACATGAGACAAATGGCATCTCATTATCACTAATCTAAAATACACACAGATATACCATACATATACCAGTAATGTCTGACACCAAAGAAAATTCATTTTAACAGGACTTTGGACATCAGTGAACACAATGCTCACAAGCATCAGTTTGAATCTTTCGGTGGTAGTAATATACACGTTGAAAAACAAACAGCAACATAAACGCAAATTTATTTTTTGTCCAATTTCAACATCCAAAGTTTTCCAAAGCACCGGTATTTATTTTTAAATGAACCTGCATACAATAGACGGACGATGTCAGAAAGCACACATGTAAGCACCCTTTTGTGCTTCTGCTTCACCTGCATCTCCAGAGCGCCCCCAATCATATCTGGCATTTCCCAATCACGTCTTGCCGCCAACACATTTCTCAAGTACTGTCCCACCCGAAATTATACCCGTCATTCAACATAAATTAATCCAGGTTAAAACTAATACCAAGTTACCCTTTAATCATCCAGTTTCATTGCTTTGTGTGATTTGGAATAAACCACACAGGATAATAGGCAAAATACAGTCACACTTCATAACCTGTCCATATTCCTCATGTTTGGTCAGACAAGCTGACCATTTTAATTTTATCTCGGTGATTTGATGTACTTGCCTTAACAGCATTTACGACACCAGTGAGACACGTCAAGCATTTTTTTTCTGAATATGAATCTTAAACATACATTTTGCTTCAAAAGTGGAAACCCCAAGTGAATGTAAAATCATTTATAAAACTGTATCAAATGTTAGCATCAAAAAATGATGAGGCCAACTTCTGAACTCATATCAGTTGTAAAAATATATATCTCTCCAAAGACAGAATCGATCAAAAATCCATTCTGCAAACTGTAGTACATGTATATAAAAAACTGATTAAAGAATACACACCGTAGAAAACTTTCTTTTAAAAAACTGTGACCAGTCTCGTTTTAAAAATGCTAAACTCCAGTCTGAGTTAAGAAAGAACGACGTCAAGAAATGCCAAGTTTCGTGGAATGATATCAAATTTCTGGTACTTCTAATACTGACATTCATCGTTTGTTTTGTGGGATCCATTCAGTAAAATGTTTATAAATCTGTTTATAAAATTCATTCATTTTGCTGCAGAGTCATAAATATACCCAACACAAAGCAGATTCATACAAGAATGAAGATGAAAGCAACAAAATCTTATCCAGAAATTTAAATCCCATGAATTCAGCCTGCTAGGAAAAACCAAGACTGTTATTAATCTTATGTAATTTCAGTGTGCATGTTTCAACAAAAATTCAAAACAAGGTGTCAAATCTCAAGAAACGATCACCACACACATTCTTTCTGAAAAACTGTGTTGCATATTAGATTCGTTCACGGGCACGGACCGCGTCCCCCCCGCAAAACAGAACAAAGATCATTTTTCATTATGTTGTTTCGGTGTGCATTAGACGGAGCAAATTTGACTCCTTGTATTATTGATGTATCACAAAGTTTGGTATCCTCATGAAAATGGACATTATGTGGGTAAAAAAAGAGAGTTCCCAGTGGTTTACGTTGTGCAAGATACTTGTAAAGGCTTAGAACTCAAAAGTATCTCTGATAACCTGTGACTTATTTTGTTGAGTTGGATCATACGTTTGCATTTACATGGACTTCATGTCATGACAATGCACACTGAGGTGATCCTGGAAATAAGCTCTCCTTTTTATTCACTCTTTTCAACACTCTTTGTTTTCAAAGTTGGACTGATTAGGACAAGTGGACAGGACTACGTATTCCCTAAATTTTGCTTCTTAACGAGTGAAAAAATCTCAGTCAACATGATATCACTGTGCAATGTAGCTTCTGCAATTGGGCCCCATGATCCACACCTGAGTTTAATTGCTAAAGCATTGCAACTGGCTGATCCTTGATCCAATCGGGTTGACCTCTACATCCCAGAGGGTCTGTCAGTCACCCTAGCAACAAGCGTTGACATGGCATCGCCGATGCGGGCTACTGCATCAATCATGTCCTTAGGATTATCGTGTGCTCCTGCGATAAAACAAAGAAACATGTTATCAATGAAGTAACTGCATACGAGGAACTACAATGTAGTTTGACTTCAAGTGTCTCAAGCCAAGGTGATCAATAACATTACTGTAGTTAGACAAGAATCTTGTGTGAGCTTGCCATCATAACAAAATAAGAAACGTGGATACAAAAGATGAACACACCCTCTTGCTGTGTGCCAAACATATTGTGCTTCTGGTGTTTAAGACTTGTTTTAATTCACGTACGAGGTACATGGGGTATGTCTGATAACTTCTGCTCGGGAATGGTGAAGCTCAGCTGAGTTTTTGCTCCGGTTCATATCTCATGACAAGACTTGATACAATGTGAACCAAGCGAAGAACAAGCCAAGAAGTGGGCAGTGCCTTGGGTAGGTGCAGTTGGTCTGTTTTTCTCATGTCATGCATGTGAGCAAACCCTGATAGATCATGTTGCAGTGTAAACTTCCTCATTCATGAAGGCATTACCATGAGGCCGCCTAGTTCGCATAAAGGTGGGAGGTGGCTTGTAGGAAGGGTGTGGCAGTAGCTCCGAGGAGGATGGCTCATCTATAAAAGAAATACAAAACAAGACATCTGTTTTCATTTCCAAGACTCTGATAACGCAATTAGCACATGTAAGTCAGGCTTGATAAATGAAGTATTTTTGCCATACAATGGGAAATCAGCTTTGATATGAATGTGTCAGTGTTCCAGTAACATAAATTTTCAGTGAACCAGGATAACGAAGCAGACGTCAAGCTCAATAAGAATGTAGATAAACTGACTTAACCATGTAGAAATAATTTTCACTGTGGTTACCGTGTACATTCACAGGATAAGCATCGTTCAATCTCTGCAAAATCTCATGCATTGCGGCCTCTTCAGGAGGAAACACCCTTGATGCAGACAGGTTAGGAAACATCACTGTTGATTGGTCAGTCAGGTGGGTCGGGAGGAGCCTCCTCGATGCAAATGTGCCCGGAGTCATTGCAGACTGATTCTTGGGGTACCGTGGGCGGGCCACGGTGCTATCACTCAATCCGGGAGTCATGGTTTCGTTGGCTAGTTGTGTGTTTGTTCCTGGTGTAACTCCTGATTGGTCAAAACTTACAGGTGGGCAGGGACTTCCTCTGTCATTTTTAACAGCACCTAAAGGTGATTGGTTAATCATGCTAAGGGGAAGGGATTTGTATTTGTCATTTTTTAGCACAGCTGCTGCTGACTGGTTGACCACTGAGGCATTATGCGCTGCAGGAATAATAACATTAGCATGTCCATTTTCAGTCATACCAATGCTGCGTTGTGATTGGATGACAGCATGATGAGGTGGTAGCCTGGGTGGAGCTGTATGATCAAGTCTGCCACTCATGGGTGAAGTATGATAATGAGGGGGAGGGGCTGGGAGGCTTGGCACGTGTATGGATTTACTGGCTTTTGGAGGACTTTGCTTCTGAAATGCAAAATGACATGAAAAAAATGTAAAAATTACTAATGTGACAAAAAATTGAATGTTAGGGGAGGCACAAAATTCATGATCCTGCAGAGTAAATTTACATGTTGAGTGAAAAATTTACTGAGATCCCCTCAAAGCAATGTACATTACACTACTGATTATCTGATTACGCTACGAAAAGCTGTTTGTCTACAGTGCCATGAAGTTGGCACCAACTGGCAACACGAGGGTACAAAGCCACACCAGCATTTGAAATGAATTTGACCAAAAGTTTCCTCAATCTATATCAGATTTGAACCAGGAAACTGACATGACAAGCTCAGTGGTTGATACATTGAGAGATTTGCACAATAAACTGGAGGTCCTGGGTTGGAGTCTGACCAAAGCAAGTTGGCAACTTTTTAAAGAGCTCTCTGCCAGTGTTAATGACACTACATAGGTGACGGGCATGTAACTTGGACTTTGACTCAAAACAAGGAAATTCCAACCTTTACAAGACATTGTACAGGGATTTCCAATTTTCAATGGCATGAGTGTGAAGTGAGGAAATCAGCTAATTTGAGGAAAAGTTGACTAAGGTGAACGGTTAACACAAAATTTTAAAAGAGGGAGAAAATAGATGACTGTAAGAACTTTTGAGAAGATCACTGCTAATGGCAGAATTTTGAGTCCTCGTCTAGATACCTGTTTGAGAAGCTCCTTCAGCGTCCTCAGCTGCATCTCTAACTGTCTGTTCTGCTCCTCCAGTACTTCCTGCTTGGCTTGAATCATTTCTCCCTCCGCATCCGATGCCTCATCATCACTGGACCCGTTTCCATAGTTACTTTCAGCACCATCTTCATCACTGGGTTCGCTGTCAACAGCTGCTGCCTTTCCTCTCCTGACCAGCTGTTCTATATCATTGATGAGCTCCCTGGAATTAAAAAAAAAATCATGGGCATCAAGGTGACTGCAATTTCGTACAGTTTTAGAAAAATTCACAGCAGGTGGGAGAATTTGGTCCTTCTGCCCAACTTAGAGTACATTGCAAGCTGTTTTATCTGATAACAAGGACAAAATTGGAACTTTCAATGATTGGAAATTTATTTCAACGTGCAGCCAAGCACAGTAAGGAAAGTATTTCTGGTTGGAAATTCAGTGCATTTCACAAAATGTTTCAGATCAGCTGAACTTATTTCCACAGACAGCTACAAAATCAACCAGAGCATAATTCCCCCATTATGCCCCTCATCGTGCAGTTGGAAATACATCCTCATCTTCAGGGTAACAGAGGGAAATCACACTTTCAATTCTCCATTCCTACAACTTCTCAAAATCTCCCAATCCAGCTCCTGGTCTTAATAGCCTTTTGACCCACCCAGCAAAGACCCACTATGGTTGCTTCAGATGGAACCCCTCGCTAAACAATAGATTTCGATCTAGATGGGCTTTGGAAGTTTCCAACAAAAGAACCAATTGAGTAATGGGTTACTCAATAAGGGAGTATGCTTCCCACTCACTCGTTTTCTCGCTCCAGCACATCTATCAAGTCTTCCAGGTCTCTGTGTTCCTTGGACCGGTCTGCCGAGGATTTCTGACCTCTGGATGACGACCTACCCGACTCGGGGGAGGTTTCAGATGGGCGTGTCCAACTATCAGGTGAGGGGGTAGTTGTGTCAGAGGATGGACGGGCCGGTTTCATGTCTTCAACTGCAGCTAATCTGTGGTAGAAGATGGAATACCGTACTAATGCAATACCAAGTTTATAAACCACTTTTCAAGTCTCTGAAATCTGAATATATACAAATTAAACCATAACGTAGGAATCAATCACTCCTCACCTTGCTCACAAGCAAGGTGATGGGTCCAGAATAACCTGGGTCCAAAATTTCTTTTGTACTTACTATTATTAGCATGTGACTAAATATTCACACTTTGTGATTACTCCTTCTGGAGGTGGAAGGTTTACCTTTGATGTTAAGCAAACTTTTTTGACCCTGCAAAAGTCGATCAGAACAACAAAAATGGATGTTTTGTTTATTTGTGAGCGGTAATCCCCATTTGCTGTTTGGAGGCTAATCTATCTAGTAATTATGTGCTCTACAGCATAAGGAGAAAGTAACTCCTGAGTCCTTACTTTTCCGAAATGTGGCCGAGGCGAACATGCATGTCAACCTTCCGCTCTAAGGGATCCCTGGAGAGAAAATGTAGGTGATAATTTCCGCTTACAAATTAATGTGGAAACTGTTTCCTTCTTATTTACAACTGTATCAAATATTTCTTTTGCAGGAATTATTTTGTTGGGGTCAGATTTACCTGAGCTGCTGCTTTATTTGATATTAAAATTCTGACACAGTTCATTTTCAGTTTTGATATTCAATTTTACTTCAAACATGGCTCCTTTATTGTTCCTGTTTATTACATGAGGCAGTGTTTATTACTGTATATTCAGGAACAATGATAATTTCACATATTCTGGGCAGATCAGGTAAACATAAACCAAAGAGTATGCATGTATTTATTGCAAATGGTAATGTGTAAAATTTAAATGGAAAAAACAAGCCCCAAACCATAACGGCTCTGAAACCATTTACACATTGAATATATCAGATGAGCTTTTGGTAGCAACCATCTTTGTGTTCAAGAGTCAAAATACTTCTCCTATTCAGTAGATTTATGTGTTCTGCAACCCAGTGCCACTCAGTCATAGCCCTTACAAAAAGCCTGCATACAACAGTCAGTACATCTGAAAGGTCTACCTGTATGAGTAGGAATCTGGGATACCATCATCTATGGGCAGGTAGTTGGGTTTGGCACGGCGGCCATGTTTCTTACTCAGCTTGTTGCGGATAGTCTTGGCAAAGGCTCGTAGGTCTTCCTTAGAAGAAGTCTGATTATCAGAAAACAAAAATTGTTACCAGATTTTATAAACAGAAGCCAAATTACACCAAGAAACTTTTGTGATGAACAGCTTTAGCACTGTCAGGACAGCTGTAGTCCCACAGAATGTCATCTTGTGAAGAATGAGGCGGGGAACTTATTTATGCTGATAAGATTTAGCATTGAAGGGAAACATCCTAAACACCAAATATTCTATGGATCCCAAAGACTGATGTGTTCCATGATGTAAATCATGATTCCTTTAATAAAGCGCGTACTGGTAAGAAAAATCACTTTTTGCTCTTACCCCGAAGACATACTCCTGAGTTGGGTGGGAGAGTTTGTGTTTCTTGGTTGCCATGCCGACAAAGAAGCAATCCTGGCACATGTCATAGTTGAGACACTTCATGCACCTGAAGCGGAGTCCGATGATGGGGACCATCTTGCAGATGTTGCATTTAACTTCATGTCTCACTGGAAAGAAGAGAAGAGTTTGTCCTACTGCTGGTTTCTACATCAAAATACCTGCTAGAAATTTGACTGACTTCAGTACTAGGGCTGAGTCAGATTGAATATTTGATCATTCGAATATTCAAGCTAAATTTGATCAAATATTTGGCTGTACAGTGAATTTTTGGTCTGACAAGCCCCTTCAGAAATAATTTTTATTGACACACAGAATGATATGCATGTATTCCAATCATTACAAAACATCTATAAGGTTAGTTGGTAACCAGAACTATTTCTTTTGTATTGGATTAAGCTTGAGAAAAGCAATTTGGTTACAGATAAAACTGGGCATTTTCCTGTTTATTTCATTGCATTGCACAATGAATATTCAAATCAAAAAAATTTAATATTCAAATATTTTAAGGTCAATTGAATATTCAAATAGTAATAAACATGTATATGGCACAGGCCTCTCAGTATCTCTCTGAGTCTCTTAATGAGAGCTCAAGTGTCTGTTAGTCGCAGCTCTGAATCTCAACTTCTGCAGGAAAGAACTGCCTCGGCTGGCTGAAAACTAATAAGGTATCGAAACAACAACTGAGAGAGGCAGGATTTGAATCTTGGACTTGAGAACTGATGTACCTTTGGAAATACAAATTAGACATCAAAGTGAAGTGGATTCATCTGTATTTCAACTCAGTAACGAAAACTGGGTAAGGATTTTAACGTGTGTTCTCAAAAATATCTTATCAAGACTTCACCAACTGTGCTCTCAAAATGGCCAGTCTTTGCTTTTTAGGTCAACTGTTAACCACTGGCTGTCAGGGAGCCGGGGCACGTAATCTTTATATGCACAGCTGGGGTGTCCGAAATCAGAAGAAGGTAACTGGGCCTTGTAACAAAAGACAAGGCTGCTGGGAATTACCAACACATTTTCACTGTCAATAGTGGAGAGAATCCAGCCTTGTTTTGAAACAGTATACCATGGTTTGTGGCATTCAGTGCCTGTGGATTACAACCCGGGACATAAAGCGTTCCATCGCTGCAGTGATGAGCCACACAGAATTGCTGCATGCTAATCTGGCCCCTATTGAAAAGACATCAGCAGTGCACTGTGCCATTTTCAGGAATAAAGAAAATTATGCAACACTGCACAATCGGGGCTCTTTTTACCAGGCGGCAGGCCTGGCTGCAATACACATTTGAAGCAAGATATGGGACAGAGAGCACCCCCCCACCTTTGTGTTGGTCATTGTTTNGGTATAGAAATACTCCGGAGTCAATAGATATTGTTTGTCAGATTAGAGTAACCACCTGACAATCCTTTGTCTGGTTGTTAGTGTCCAGCAAATGAAGATATGAATTTTTAAGGAATGTTGAAAACTGAGAAAAATGAAAAATTCCCGGCCCAGCTGAATCGACATTTATAAATGCCCCCGGCATGAAGTGGTTTAAGGCAATGAAAAAACCCTTACAATCTCTACAGCTCAATTTTGAAGGTTGGGAATTCTACTAATGTATGCAACGCTACCAGTCTTGGAAATGTAACTATTTGGGATCACTCCATAGGTCATGGGTTTGATTTTCTTTGTTAAAACCATGATTGTTTTATAAAAATCTGCTTTTCTAGATTACTGTTTGTTATTTGGAGTTGAAACTCTTTAATTTTCATCATCTTTAATCCCTTCCTACATTTAGCATAAAAAAAAAAATGAAGTGTGACATTGCCTTTTTATGTATTCAAACAGGTTTTTCTGCTTTCTCGTATTTTTATTAGTCCTTTTTGAGTTTTTATGAACATAAACTGTGATTCAGTCCTTACCTGAGACAGTCTTTTATGACATAATGTCATATGGCAATTAATACCACTAATAACAATCAACAGCATTTAAAAATTGAAATAATTTGAAAGGTTGAGAATTTGGTCAGATCCTTGGACTTACTATTCTCAGAGGCTGCCAAGCGGTGCATTGTGGGTAACCACACTATAGTCTGTGGTTCAGCCATCAGCCAGTTCATGTAACGATCCTGGGAGACAGTGGTTCCGATTACCTAGACCGGTCAACAAATGATGCTAAATCAAATATTTGCTCTAAGGTAAATAGTGTGCCAAAGGACAGGAGATATATTAAGTCCCCTGTTCTGGAAAAACTTTCAGCCACTGCAAATTTGTCTAACGAGTAAAGATTTTAAAAAGTCATACTCTCTAACAATTTAAATATATTTCTTGATTCAGTGAAAAATTTACTTGAGTCTGCATTTGTAAGGATTTGTTCGATTAAAACATCACTTGTAAAAACACTTTGAATTAGGTACCACAGAAAAAAATTGAGGATGTTTTGTAATATTTTCACAGTACAAAAGATTACAAGTTAAACCAGATTTTATAAAGTCTCCAAATTACTGGGCTTTGGCTGCAGTCATACGCCTTAAAGGAAAATGGCTATAATTTCCGTCTAATGACTTCCATGGGGACAGGTACTCTTGCCAGATACAGACTTCGGTTACGGCCTTAGTTTACCGCACAGAAGTTTATCGGTGAACTCACCGTAGCAAAACAGCTGTTGACGGCAGCCACGGCATTTCTACCTAAAGAAGCACTTTCATTGATTAGCTCCGTTATCTTCAAAGAGATGAAGAAAGGAAGGAAAAGTAGGAGTTACTCCAGCAATCTGATGCAGGACCTGTCCAGTCATTTTGTACGATAATCAGATATAATCTGAAGAAGTGTGTAAGTTAACCAATGAGCACAGCTGTCAAAAGCCTTTCCAGTGACCACAAAGATATAAAACCCTGTGCCCTTATGGGCTACTCCAATTATTTGGCTGGTCAAACTAGTCCAAACACGTCGTTGATGAAAATATCATTAATCCCAAAGACCTCAACCTTCCAACAGAGGAATTACTGAGGATTGACAGGGTTATAATCTTTTGTTTAGTTTTTATTTCAAAAATAGAATTGGCTGCAGTGTATTGATGAAATTACAAATGTACAAATCTGAACTAAATTTCCCAAACTACAAAACAGTTCAGGTTGAGAATTATCAGTCCTTGTCCAAGATACAAAAATATGCCATCCTAGATATAAAGGCAGCGTCAGTTTTACCCATACCCTAATGAGATCTTGAAGGAAGGTTATCATGTTGTGACGACTGATGCCCCCTGCTCTGTCAGCCAGTTGCTGGTACCAGTCTAATTACCAAAAACAGACATGCCATTATTCAAAATGTTGCCTCATCTGGGAACCTGTTTACAACTGTATGACTTGCATGTTTTTAAAGTTAAGTACTTATTCAAATCCACTAGGGGTGTGAGTGGCCACTTAAAATTAAAGCTGAAAACAGCTAGCAAAAAGCTGACGCGTAAGAAGTCCCCCTACTTAGAAAAATTTGAAAATAAATTGAAGACGTGAACACAATGAAAAACTTCCTGCTCATTTTGCTGATTGCTCAGGGAAAGAGGTTCCGAGGTCAAGTGGACTTCATGAAACCATGACCTTTCCTTGGCAACTTGCTTTAACAAAGCAGCTCATCACGATAAGTTCAGACAAAAATTACTTACACTGGTATTTTTCAGTGAGTTGGCTTGCACAGAGTGCCACTGTGCATATCTTGGCAGAAAGAACTTTGACGTATCCAGCGCGACCCCTGAAATGACAGGGCAAAGTACAAAACATTCTGAAAGCAAGTAAATGTGCATTTTCAATGAACATGGACATGTACGTTCACCAAATGTCACCTTTCTCAGAACTCTGAAACTTAGGCTTACAAAGTTGCCGGGAAAACAAAGGCTCAAAAATGATGTGCATTGGACTAAACACCAGATGACAACAAGGGATACTCACGGTGCTTAGTACATGACCTAAAGTCATCTTAATCCATGAAAGTATATGTATACACGTACATCTAATAAACCGAGGCAGATATTGAGGAACCTTGTGGTTATCGACGTGCCTTGGAGGATCAGATGCGCATGTATTAGGGTGTGGCCCTGTAGGAATTTGATGAAAGATTTCTGACACACCCAAAATCAAAAATAGCACATTCTTTGAATTCTCAAGTGGCTTCAACCCCATGAAAATCAACTGTGGCTGGATTATAGCAGAAAAGTCAGGCTTACTGTAGCAGATAGTTTTGCTAAGCATTTTTCATGGCAGTGCTTGACATGGTTGTGCCTATGCTTGCGCATGCATGAAGAGACTTCCATCGTTTTGTCACTACGTTAAGCACATTTTTCCTTCAAGGTAACCGTGCTTTTTGCTGTGCTTACTAACATGTTCTTCATGAAAATACACGGAACCTCTGTAAGAATAAAATAATATGCTAAGCAGCGCCATGAAATATGGCCCTTTCACAATAGTGCGTCACCAAAAGTTTCCAACGCGTTGGCCAGTTGCAATGCGTAAAATTTGTCGAACCCAATGTGCGTTAGGAAAGGGTCGTCAAATTTCGCGCGTTATGATTGGCAACGTGTTGCAAACTCTTGGTGGTGCACTATTGTGAATCGCTCGTATTAAAACTTGGGTTTTGAATTTCAAAGGTTCATACTCACATGTCACACAGATTGAATATCCAGTTTACAACTACATCTGTACTAGCTTCCACATTCACCATGCTACTGTGTCTACGGGAATACGTCATATAGAACACCTCATAGATGATGCTGTACAGCTCAGAAATGCTCAGAAAGCTGTCGCTGCGACAAGGGAAACCATGCTGCTCAAAAGCTGAATTGATTGTTGACAGGTCAACGAAATCCACTAAAGAAAAAGAAAAAAGGTGAAATCAGGAACGAAACTGCCCTTGTCGTGTGCCTCTGAATATCTGATGTGAGCTTTAACTTGACTGAATACGAATGATATTAAAGTACCGGGGGAGAGGGGGGTGGAATGCTTACAGTTGAGGAGTTTTTGCAGCATTCTCAGCTTCATGGCTGCCCTGTACTCTGCAAGCTGGATGCTGCCCAGGTCGTCTGTGAGTTGAAGAATTTTGGCAAGGTTAGAGATAGTCTCAGCAAGTGGACTGAGCACCCTTGCACAACCGTACCACATACTCTCACTGCTACTTGTTATTGAATTAGCTACATGCAATTACCTGCAGCTTTCAACTGTTCATTAACATTTGGAATATCTGTGACCCAGTTTGACAAATGGGCCACTTTAGTATTTCAAGAAGTAAAAAAAGGCAATTTGAAAACAAAGCCCATGATGCCAAGCTAGTTCAGAGTGTGAACAAGTCAGTGTAGGGCTATGCTCATAGAGTCAACCTCAGGCATGCATTGTGATGTTCTTGAGCGACCTGCACTGCTCTTCGTGTTAAGCACACTCAATTATAGTACTGAACGGGCTCACAGACAGTAACATTTGTATATAGATGCTATTTTACCACCTTTCTTAGGACTCAATCAATCTACATGTAGATGCCAGTGATCTAGTTTTGGCCAATCAACCAACCATTCAATACAGAAAAAAATGAATGGAAGATACACGAACAGGAATCCCATATCACTGCCTAACTCACCCAGCATCCATAACGCTTTGACAAACTCTGGGTGGTCCCATTGTGTCCTCTCTGAAATATGGCTAAAGCAAAAACGACACAAAAAAATCTCCATGACGGTAACAGCGCAGTTAAATTTGGGCATATTCCAATCAGTAAATGTTATCTTACCAAAAGTGAATATGCTCCGTCAAAACGTGTGAAAGACATGCATGTACATGTTGGTGCACAGTTCAAAGAAATACTAATATTAAGTTTTTGTAACACTATGGTGAAGGAAAAGCATATATTCAGCCTATTTTTTAATTAATAGAGAAATTTCCTTGACTGTTTTGCATGGTACAAATTAAATCACCCCCCAACAAACAGGTTGGGCAACCCTGGGTAGGGAATAGGGTTGATACAATGTATTTGTGAAAAAAGGGGTTGTTTCATCATTTTTAACTTACTTGATGTAATATGGAATGCCAGTATTGGTCACTGCTTTCTCCCACAATTTGTCCATGACAAATTTCCTTGATGTATGGATATCAGATCTTCCTGTTTCTGCACATAAACAACTTAGAATGTTATACTTTGTCACTTCATTGTCATATTTTGACTTCTCATCAAGTGACTTTACAAATTTTAAAGGTCCAGGTCATTTGGAACATGCACATGTACGTACGGTACATGCACATATGTAAATTTCATATTTTTTTTATTCCTTTTTTTTTCTTAAAAGCCTCTAGGATTAGATATGCCCTCCATTTTAATACAAATAACAGTCACATACATGTAACATGCCTCTTAAATACCAAGACTATGAAGCCCACATCAGTGTCCTCCATGGCAGTGTTTTTCCATAGCAGCGAATGGTGGCAACTCACTGTGTGAGCTAACAAATGTGTGCATTAGGCAAAGGCTATGCTGAGCTCATGCGTCAAATTTCTGTTTGCTTCTATTCAGGTGTGATATTGGGAGAAAATGCAATATCCCAGAAATAATCACTTGAGGTTTAGTGAGCCGCATAGGTATTTGTGTTTTCCCCTGGCACCTCTTAAAATGCCTGTTCCTTATGTTTTGTATCAACTTTTAAACGTAAAAGCACCTTAATGGTAAATTCAGGATTAACAGATTTAACAAGAGATCAACTGAACAATCCTGAAATCAGGAAAATCCTGATAGACGTCAATATTCATCACTTCACCATCGACAAAGGAGCCAATCAAGGTTCTACAACCACATTAACATAAACCATTTCACTAAACTGCCCATGCCAGAACATGACAAACTGCTACCAGTTATACTTTTTCCAATGGAAGACTGCACCATCAAATGAGTACCTTAACTGTAATATGTGCTATCTTGCTTACGGGTCAAAAAGAGCTCGCATTGCTGAGCCAGTACATCAATTGAAATCTTATGCTCTTCCAAGTCATCATGCGTTCATTCCAAATTCCAATATGAGCTCACATCTATCAACATTCCCAGTTGTGTTTTTTTCGTCCCTTGAACAAGATGGCACATACGTTGAAGAGAAAGTAACCTACATGTACATGTACTGCAGAATACCCTGCCAATCAAAAATACACAGGTTATGTGGGTACGACATTTGTGTGACATGTTGACCTCGTAGCCAGCTACGAGGTTGATCATGCAGGATCAAGTATTGAGCTGCCAGAAATAAATTCCATACTCATTGTCCACTTTCCCAGGAGTGTTAAGTATTTGTTTACAGATTCATGCACAGAAGAGTTGAACGTGCTGCCTTTGGAGGCAAATCTGGGATGTTCTATAAAATCAACTCGGGCTGGAGGATGCAATGATGATTGTATTTGTCCCAGATATACAGACACGGCGCAGCACATGTTGCGAGTCTCACCCGATGTGTGTTTCCAGGTCACAGCAGCACTAGCAGCCAGGACGATCCCACGATGAAAACAACAAGCGCGGTCATTGGTGGGTTCGATGCATGTGCAGACTGATAAACACGAACGGCATGAACGGAGCAACAATTAACGGGTGGAAGTGAGAAATTGGTGGGCAAAAATCTTTACTCATTTCTCAAAAATAGGCCTACTCTGTCTCATGCTGTGAAACTTGGTTATCCCACTTTTTAGGGGGTAGGCCCCATAGGCCTAGCCTACATTTTAAGCAGGTTTGCTGACAGGGAAAATTTGATTTAATAGCTTTCTGACACATGTGTAAACCATTTCGCCACAATTTGATTTCCAAACCCCATAGCGTTACCATGGTTACGACGCAATTTAAACCTTGTCTTCTCTACATGTAACCAAACTCACACAGAGTATGACAGAGTACTTTCGTCTCGAGTTCTAGAAAGTACGCTTAATAATGAAAGTTTTTACCTTGCTAGGCTCTCAAAGTTGCCATCTTTAAAACAAAGTCGTTGAACATGACGTCACTTGACCCCTCATCGTCTCAATGGCTGTTCCATGTCAAGACATATCTAATACATGGACTGAGCGATAAGATACTACATGTACCAATGGGCTCTTCCAAAACTTGGGTGGCAGTTTAGATATGTCTTGATGTGGAGCAGCCGTCAAGACGATGAGGGGTCAAGTGATGTAATGTTCAACAACGACAGCGTCTGTGAGAGTGAGCCAGTGAGATTGAATGGGTGAAGGCCAAAAGACTGGAATATACCAGAACAATGTGAGTGAAATCCTTCAATAAATGGCGCTAAGAAAACAGAGAGGCTCAGGATCATCTCTGTGTGCAAAAAATTGCGCCCACGATGATAAGTAGGTGCACCAAAAATTTTCAGTACGCCGACACGAAATTGCGTATACGGATGTGTGGCTAAGGAACGAGCGGGAGTGAGCGTCCATGCCACACTAGTGGGGCTATCTGCAGGGATGGAGTTTGGACAGTACAATGTAGCTGGCAGCAAGATACAAATAAGAAGAGAATAGTACCAAGGTGTATTGCAACAAAACATTGCCTAATTGGTAGTGAACTGTACTATTACTGGTCTACTAATTGAGCTACATGGAGGCCCCTAGGCCTAGATGAAAAGTTACCGTTCTGTTCAAAACTTACCGATCCCCGCGCCGATGCGCCATAATTAGGTTTAGAATGGAAGGGCGCCCTCAATAGTTCCCACATGGCGGCGGCCGCCGCGTCAGATAAGTTTGGGGTGCTGTCTTCAACACCCCCAACAAGTACTTAGAACATGCACCTGGAGGGGAATTCGGCAGATCAGTGGAATAGAAAGACATTTTGTTATATTTGTTACTGACAAGCGCACCATTGGTGACGCGCACCACCGAAATCTTAAGTGTTTCTAATTTAGCTCAATATATTTTTGTATTTGTGTCATAGAAAACTAGTAGTATGTAAATGGACAGTTCTGGCCCAAACGCCCCTTTTTGCCCGGTTTCTGCTCAAAACCCTTGGGTACCTATACGACCCAAAAAGCCCTCGAAACCCTTTAAATGGGAAAAAATGGGAAAATCCTGGAATTGTCGTGAACCCCCAGTTTTTGATCAAAACCCCTGGGTAGTACATCGACCCAAAAAACTAGGGGAATTCTCGCTCACCTTTTGACCTCGGCTGTAAACAACTCGCGAGAAAAAATTGATAAAAAAAATAAAAATACATAAAAATAAATGGCAGATCAAACTACAAACGTGAATTGTTATTTTTGCAAAGACACGAGTAATTCGGTCGACTTGATAGATTCGTACGATTGCTCTCGTTGTTTTAATTCCAAAAGTTTACTCAAATGCACCGGTTGTAAAGAATGTCGCAATTGTCAAGAATGTCAAGACTGCGTCAGATGTAATGACTGCCTCACCAGCGACGATTGCAGTAGATGTATAAATTGCGTGACTTGTTTTAATTCATACGACTGCAGAAATTCGAATGCCTTGGACAGTTGTGAGGACTGTTACGACTGTGCCAATTGTATCGAGTGTTTTGGTTGTACGTACTGCACCTGCTGCGTAAATTGTGACGAGTTGGAAGGAATGGATCACGTGGTTCTCGTAGACGGCAAGCATAAAAAGCTGAGGCACGTGCGAGAGAACGAGTCATTGCCCGACTCAGCTACTAAACTCGACGCGGACTTATACAAAATTGGATTAATTATTGAATACAACGCTGACGTCGAACATTTAATTAAAGTAGAAATCCCGTCCGAATAAAAATGAGAAAAATTTT